GGGAATCCAAAGCCCTCTTCTGACCTCTGCAGCACTGCATGACACAGGTACACTCACATACATGCAGGCAATATAATCATACACATAAAAAATAAAAATAATAAAATAAAAAATACTTAAAAAACATTAATTTTTATTTGTTTTGTTTTGTTTTTTTGAGACAGGGTCTCACTGTAGCATCAGCTGGCCTGGAACTCACTATGTAGACCAGGCTGGCCTTGAACTCAGAGAGATCGGCCTGCCTGTGCCTCCCAAGTGCTGGGACTAAAGGCATGCGCCACCATGCCTAGCCTAAACATTGATTTATTTTTGGGGGAAGTGTGTGTGCTTGTGTATGTGTGCACATGTGTGCCAGGGCAAGGTCAAAGAACAACTGGCAGGAGTTAGTTCTCTCTTTCCAGCATGTGGGTCCCATGGATCCAACTCAGGACCTCAGGCTTGGAGGCAGGTGCCTTTACCTGCTGAGCCATTTTTTCTTTCCTTTTTCCTTTTTTTTTTTTTTTTTTTTTTTTTTTTCTTTGTGTTGTTTTGAGACAGGGTCTCCCTGTAGCTTCAGTTGGCCTGGAACTCATTATGTAGACTAGGCTGGCCTCATAGAGATGCATGCCTCTCTTTTTTTTTTTTTTGTTGTTGTTGTTTTGAGACAGGGTCTCCCTGTAGCTTCAGTTGGCCTGGAACTCATTATGTAGACTAGGCTGGCCTCATAGAGATCCGCATGCCTCTGCCTCCCAAGAGCTGGGATTAAAGGTGTGCGTCACCACGCCCGGCTGGACTTTTTAATAATATAAACTGGTGTGCTTATTAGTTCTGATGATACTTCCCAACACCCTGAAGTTACTGACTCCTGCTGGGAAATGAACATATCAACACATGCCCAAATATTTAAGAAATGTTTAGGAATATTCTTGAATCAGGAACCAGAATTTTCTCCATCTCTGAAAAGCAGTGGAATAGTGTTTGTCAAGTGGAGCACACTGCTGTGTTTGATTTTTCTCCTTCCTTTCCTTTTCCCCTTCCTTCTCTCCCTCCCTGACTTCCTGCTGGGGATAGAACGCAAGACAGGACTTCATCACATGTTAGACAAATACTCTACCAATGAGCTACATCCCCAGACCTTGGTTTTGTGAGATAGGGTCTCATTATGTGGCTCAGGCTAAACTCACCATGTAGGCAAGCTGGCCTATAATTTTTTATTCTCTTGCCTCAGTCTGCCAAGAGCTGGTATTACAGGAGTACAGCACCAAGTCCAGCCTAGTTTTCTTTTGAAAAACTTGTTCATTTATCAAATACAGGCTGGCCTATTCTACTCCCAGGCACAGTTAGACAAGAGGGGCACAACGTTACACAAGCTTCTCCTCTCATAAAGCTTATATATTAAAGAAAATTAGAAAATGAACAGATAGGAAGTAAATCAAAAGGGTCGTTTCTGGTAGGAAATGTGTGATGCCAAAGACACGAGACAAGGTAGCTGGTTTGGTATGTCTGTGTGGAAGCAAGGGGACACGGTATCAGGGGAAGCAGAAAGCCTTCTGTGACCCAGCACTCAATGGTGGAGCTAACCCTGGATGATAGGGGTAGGTGTGGTGAGGATTCCAGCAGAGGACAGAGCAGGTCACAGGCTTGGAGGCAGGGGTTACACTGCCAGGTGGCTAATGGAGGGGGCAAAAGCTAAGGCCCTGGAATAGATAAACATGGGCTTAAATTCCAGATCTTCCACTGGCTAACCTTATGCTCTGGCCCGACTGGTGTAATCACTTCCAGTCTCAGTTTTCCTATCTACCAGCTGAGCCAATGAAATGTTATTGGTGGGTCATCATGCAGGTAAGTACATGGGAAACAATGGTACAATGCCTAACAGAGTGAGTTATTAGCAGTGACAAGTCATCACAGTGGAAATAACCTAGATATGCCTACAAAGGAATGATGTCCATTTTTAAATGATGTCCATCTGTTTTTATCAACAACATAAGAGAACTCTTAATACCTGTAAAATAATCATGTCTGGCCGATACTGTTTCCGCAGTCCCATATCAAACATCAAGAACTTGAGCATCTTAAACGCCTCTTCCTCACTCATATGAAGAAGCAAAATGCCTGCCACAAAGCTGAGACCTTGGCAGTATCCCACTTCTTGGTCCAGAAGGGAGTAGGCCTTCAGAATGTTGTAAAGCGACAGCTGTCCTGCCCCAAGCTGGGCAGAGAAGTAGGGATGTGTTGGAAAAGTTCGCCCTGGGGAAAGAACAGGAATGAGTTGTAATAGAAGGGAAAGACTACTGAACCACAAAAGCAGCATACTCCAGGTAAAAGGAACACAATCTTTAGGTGCTGGATTGTAACGCTAATCAGCCTTTAGCATCACCTCTGCTCTGAACGTAGCCAGCTGCTGAGTCCTATGATGAAAACCAGCACCTAATCAAGCTTTTTGGTTTTGGTAGTGGTTTAGGTAAAAGAAACGAGAACATCTGTTAGTCTGGTTTCAATCTAAAACAAACTCTGCTGGTCCTCTAAACAACACCTCTCTTCCGACATTCACTCTAGCCAATGTCCATCAAAATGGCCCTGAGACCAACTCTATCCAGTGGTTTTTCCCGGACCACACTAATTCTGTCCAGAAATGGGTCTCATACCACATGACACTTCCAGACTTTTTACACCATAGGCAGTATTCTGAGGCTAAAGGGCAGCAGGTGTTTTCTTTTGTATAAAATAGCGACCTCTGGAAAGGGGTTAAAAATAGCTCTTGGTAGCATGATTATTTCCACTAAAAGTTGATATCAAAATTATGGGAATTTTTTGTTTTAATCTTGTTTAGTTCAGGAAGCTATATGAGTGATACCTGCCAAATCCCCTGTGCCCTCCTGGAAGGTGACAGATAGAGAAGGAGGTTTCTAAGGAGGTTAAGTTATCTGGTTATGGGCAGAAGAGCTTGGACCTGAGTGAGAACCATAACCTGGCCGGTCAGCAAGGGCAGCAGGTACACCTGGCCAGAGCTACTCTTTGCCATAGTTATCCAGCAGGGTTCCTCCATCTTGATGAAACTTGTTTGATCTTGATTTAAGAAGACGGCAACATTTCCTGCTGTTCTGACTTCACTGCTTGCCTACACAACCTCTTTCTCCAACAAAGCTTCCCAAACACTCTGCACATGACTCCCTACTGCTAGGAAGCAATGAGGAGCTCCCCAGTGCTCAGAGAACAAACACTCCATTAGTCTAGAGCTCTGTACACTTACCCCTGACCCTAGCTTTGCCCTCTACCTCAGGGCTTAGCCCAGACCTCTGAGTGAGGACTCCTGGGGTCTCAGAGCCTGTGTGGGATGTGTGCAGATTGAGTGTGTGTGTGAGAGAGCAGAGTAGGCAGGGTCACATTTGTGCATTTGTTAGGCTTTGAGCAGCACATAAAGGGAATTTAACATGGCTTAGCAGCCACATTAAAAAGTTACAGGTGGGGGTCTATGAAATAAATAGCTCAGTGGGTAAAAGGACTTGCATGCAAGCCTGGTGACCTGAATTCAATCCTTGGAAGCCCTGTAAGGGTGGAAGGAGAGAACCGATTCCACAAAGCTGTTCTCCAACTTTCACACATGTACCATGGCATGCACACCCACATATACACATAAAATATTAATTAAAAAAATTATAAAGTTACAAGTGGAATTAATTTGAATAAGACGTTCTGCTTAACCCAACACACACAATATTACCATTTCAACACATAATCAATGCAAAAATATTAAGCCATTTTGCTTTCCTTTTTCTTGTCTTTGAAATCCAGTGAACTCTTTCGGAGTACTAGCTGTACTTCAAGGACTAACCAGTCACTTTTGGCTTCTGTACTGAATAGCTCAAGCAGATTGCTTTCCTCAGATTCTCAGGAACAGGTAGCTTCCCTTTTGCTCACACTACCCCCACCAGCTCCCAGGCAGACAGAACACTTCCCGCAGCTTTGTTTCCACTTATAGCCCTGCTCACACATCCCGCTACTCTGTTTTTACTTATTTGTGTGTGGGTGCAGGCAAGCTACTACATGTGTGTGGAGGTAGAGCACATTTTGGGAGTTAGTTTTCTCCTTGCACTGTGAGACTTCTGGGGATCAAGGTTGGGTTGTCAGGCTTGGTGGCAAGTGCCTTTACTTTCTGAGCCATCTAAGTGGCCCTGCTCTGGGTTTTAAACAGGTGCTGGAGGCAGAAGCTATGAAGTCACATGGCACTGGGGAACTGCGGCAAAATTTCTGTTATTTATTCTAGACAGTTTAATCTGCTGAAGTGATCCTGTTGATCAGACACCTTCTCACAGCAAATACCACGCCCCCCTCCCCGCCCCAAACTCAGAGCATACCCCAATAGTCTCTGCTGGTGGGGAAGTGATCATTTATCATTTAACCTCATACCATCCCTAAAAGGAAGAATGGTCTGTCAGGCTCAGGGATGACCTGCTCTAATCTGATAAGCAGCACCATCATAGCTGGGGGTGGAACTCATTTCATGGCTGTGCCCAACACAGTCACACTGGCCCTGTAATGCTTTGCTGTCACTGTCTTGAAATTCACTAATTTTTAAACAATGGGTTATGCAAATTATGTACCCCATCTGGGGAGAGGCAGGCCTCTAGGCATCCTCCAGAGGGAGTACCTCCACCCTTCTTGCACCCTTACTCCTAGTGGTTAGGTGAAAAAAAAAAAAAAAAAAAAGCAAACCTTGAGAAAACTCTGTAAACCTGACTTACTAATCAAAAGCTGACAGGAAGGAGCCCCTGAGGGCTTCCCAAAGGCTCTGCCCTCAGATTTCTGACAACTGCCTCTTTGGGAAGCCTCAGTTGAAGGAGATCACCACAGTGTGTGATGGCAGAGCTGGGCCAGTCCTAACACATGGATGCTCCATGGAACATGGGGACCTGGGTCCAACACCAGGGTTACTAGTGACATGATCTGGAAGCCTTTCAATCAAGGACAGATCTTGAACATCACCCATTGTAGGAGGAAGTACGTGATAGCCTGACTGTGCATGTGCCCTAGTCCACTTCCCCTTTTGCCAACCTGTATCCTGCCTGAGAACCTGGAGACGGATGACGCTGCAACACCAGATGTGGCAGCCCAATGAAGAGAAGACACAATACCAGAAGAAACCATCCGGGACCAATGAGACACATAGAGAGGGTATATAGGCACACCCTGTTTCCGCAATAAACGAGTTCAAAGCTGCTCTCACTGCCTGCTTTTCAACTGACTCCCGGTGTCTGTGTTGTAACTCCACACCAACTCTCCCCCACATCCAAGGGGTGCTCAAGGGTCCCTGTAACAACCAATGTCACTAAAAAAAGTCCATGCAGAAAGAATCCCATTACTAAGAGAAGCCCTGCTTGCGCACTCTGAAGCCGCGTGAAGAGCAAATACAACCACCTCTGGCATGTACAGCCCTGTAGCCTTGAATACAGTATTCACTTCTCTGAACCTCGGCTTTCCCATCTTTAAATGTGCAGGATGTATGTGGGAGAGCCGGGGGAATTTGTGCAATGGCTGGTGCAAGGGACGGTTACGAATGGTGTCCAGTCAGGGCAGCAGTCTTCAGACACACCCTAAGCTTCTGAAAGCCAGCTTCCAGCAAATACAGGGCAAAAGGAGCCCATATATGAGAGTTCCATAGCACCAGTGCAAAATAATTTACATTCATGGAGGAGGAATAACCTCACATGACTTTATTATGTTCCACATAAACCCGAAAATCTTTTTTTAAATTCTTTTTTAAGAAGAAGCATTTCATTATAGTTTTAATATACTCAATAACAGTTTCCAGAGCAAAGATACACCTCTTTCAAATGTGGCTATAAAATTTTTAGGATTGCTGTTGAATTAATATGGTTATACAATATTGAACTCAGGATAAGCCCTGTAAGACATAAAATTGAATGAGTTTTTAACCTTTAAAAAAGATCTCCATTTAATTTAAAAATATACTGTTTCTCACTTAAAGATTGTTTGTCCTAATACGCATGTGTCTCTAATCTCTATGTATCTGATTATTACTAGTCATAACTGGTTGCACTTGGATCCTTGGCACCTGTGTATGTCTTTAAAGTCACTGGGTAGATTTCAACAGCAACGTTTATCACCTCTGCTAATTAACATGACATAAATATTTATGATTCCTCCACAAATATTCATTTAAAAATTTTGTTTTTGTGTGTGTATATATCACACAGAACATCCCAAACCATCTTATTCAACTATACAACCACTTCCCAGATGGCACCCTCCCATAGCCTCCCTCATCCCACTAAAGCCCTTATACTCTGTTATCCCTGTTACTGTCTGCTGTGTTTTCGGCCCCCCGAGCCGTTCCCCACTACTTGTCCATCTGGTGAATCTAGTCAGCCTATCTAGGGGTCTTTGTTTTAGGAAGGTCAGTTGCTCCTCATCTAGAAGCAATCAGTTGTCAATATTCCTTTAGATAACATTAGGGTCTGCTGTTCATTTTCCCAGTTCTATGCTGGGTTACTATCTGGGGTCCCTTTGGCCACCCTGGCCAAAAACTCAAAAGAAGGTATCTCCTATCTGGCATTGTTGTTTGTTAAGTAGCCTTTAGCTATGCATATGGACTCTTAAGAAATTATACTGGCCCCTTCAATCTTTGATTATACATTCCTTTTGGGTGTTTAAGTCCATACGGTTGGCCCAGATAAACCAATTTATTTTTACTCTAAAGGCTGTTTTAGGATCTGTTCTTCAGGGGTCACATGGGCTTGGGAGGAGCCCCTGGCTCCTTTCTTTCACCAGTTCTGCCTATGTGAAGATAAGTCAAAGGTCCTGCTCGACCATGGTTGGCTTCGCTTGGAAGCATGGAGAAAATGATTCCTCTGTGTTGACCCTCCTCTTTGTAGATTGGACACTGGTTCAAGTCCATCTGGTGGGGTCTCCTCGGCCCCCCTGATCTACATGACAGGTGACCCACCACCACTACAGGACATTTTTAGAGGTGCTCATAATCCCCTGACACTAGTCCACCTCGGAGGGCAAGGAGCAAAAAGTGTCCTTTATGTCCCTCTGACCAAATTATTATAGGCCTCAAAGTATGTCTGTTAAACACACAAGAAGGTTAGTTCCACCAGTCTGGTATTTTTAATTACTGTATGTCATGTAGATAAATCTTAGGCAATGACCAGTTGTTCTCAGATAAACCTTACCTAGACATATATTTCTTGATCTGCTATGTATAATTTGTCAGTAGGTTGTAA